AACAAATAAAAAAAAAAAAAAAAAAACTAAGCTCCTAACAGAGCGCTTCGACGGCAAGTCGTTTGACAAGATCAGCGGCGCAGTCGGTAGCTCCAAAGGTAGCTTCAGAGACATCGATAGAGCAAGATTCTTTCCCAACGCACAAATTCTCAACAATCTTCAATGCATCGTTCTGGCTCTTGCACTCACCTGTCGTGAAAGACCCACAAGTCCCCAATGGGTTGCCGTAGCTCGCGAAGGCAATCCCTGAAATCTGTCGCCCCTGACACGACAGCTCCAAACGGTGGTTGTCGTAAGCATGAGCGCAAGCTTTCTCCATGGTGATTGTTTTGAAGTTCACCAATGATGGGTTTCCTCCAAATTCCTCGAACAGAACCAGAGTGTTGTCGCCATCGTTGATGAAGGATCTTGGGACATGGTACCACCGCTGTGTTGGGTGGCCGCAGTTGCTGACGCATTTTTTGTTGTCATATGCGCCACGGTAGTCACATGGGTCCAAGCTGCAACCTTCTTCGGCTATGAAGCTCGGCCAGTAGCGGCCGAGGTTGTGGCCATTGACCCAAGCAACCCCCTTGCCGAGGCCTTGTAAGTCTAGAGCCACTGGGTCAGTTCCTAATGGAGCTTTGAAGGTTGTTTTGTACCATGTCATCATTTTGTTTACTGGGAGATTCTCTGATTGCCATTTGGCGGCGAATCGAGAACCTGAACTGAAGAGACGATTTTCGAAGCCGTGCAATCCGATTTCGTATGACCATTTGTGAGATGAGAGGTCTTTTATGAGTGTTTCATCGCCGTTGCGGCCGATTAATTCAACTGGGCCGGGGATTCCTGATTGAATCATGTCGAAGAAGGGCCCGTAGTTCTGAAAAACAGAGCAAAATATGTGAGATTTGTTGATGAGAAAAATCAGAAACAGAGGTCGGAGTTACGAACCTGGTAGCCGACGGTGGCGCTGAGAAGAGAGATTATGTTCTTTCCTGGCTTTAATTTCACTTGTCTCTCCATAAAGTAAGTGAAAATTCCATATGAAGCCCATTGGGAACCGATATGTTCACCGTTGACGAAGGCGTGGAGGACATGGCCGCTGCCGTTGATTCGCAGAGTCATGTCGTTGCTCCAAATCCGATCGGCTTTCTTCAAGTGAACGCTGTAATTTGGGGAAAAACATCAAATTAAGGAAATGGGTAAGGCTTAAATCGGTGAAATTCGTGTTCGATCTCGAGGATTTTACCTTGTCATGTACCAGAGATAATCACTGGCGTCGTTAGCGGCAGCTTTCTGATCAAGAAGCATATTAGCACTTACTTGTCCTTTGCCTAATCTCGCGGTGGCGTCGAGATTCTCTGGCCGCCACACCCATTGCAACGCCGCCGGTTCCTCCTCCGCCTTGTTTTCCTTCTTCACCATCACGGATGTTTGTGTGTTCACTTTTGCTGTGTTGTAAACCTCTGTTTGACAGTCGGGAAGAATGCTGACGGACCACGCCGGAACTTTAAAGTCTTTTCCGTTGTAGCTGACCGTCGCGTCGGTTGTTACATTCGCGTTGCTGAAGAAACAAGCCGACCCTTCTTTTGTAGTGTATTTGGTGATCTAAATCGAGAAAAATAACAATGTTCAATTGTTTGGCTCAAGAAACAGAGCAAAAATAGATGAGATCCGTTTTTTGGTTCTTACAGAAACAGAGTTGCCCAAATCGGTGGTGTTCACGTCGCCGGAAACCAGCGGCTTCTCAATGGACATCAAAGCATCGTGAAGCTGCTTCAAATGGCCGTATTTGGGTTGATTCAGATTACCATACTCATCCAACGGTGCATCGTAATCGTAAGAGGTGGTGATGTACGGACCGCCGGCCATCCGGTCGAAGTTCGTTCCGCCGTGGTACTGAAAAAAACCGGTCACCGGAGCTGTAAAAACTCAAACCCAGATACAAAAACCGATGAATTAAGGAACTAAGCACAAACCATGTAGTAGTTTTGGAAAGTGCCGCCGAGTTGGTAGAATCTAGCGACGGAGAAGGCCAAATCTTCGGAGGTTCTATGTGGGTCTTTTCCGCCCCAGCTCTTGAACCAACCAGTCCAATTTTCAGTCCACATTTTGGGGCTGTTCGGATTGTTGGGAGTGAACTGATCGCAGTACCAGCCATTGCAGGTGTTGATCATTGGCTCGGGTGCGTCGGCTTGTTGACACATGATCCATGGAACTCCAACTTTCAACGAGTCCGCCATGGATGCACACCAGTTCACATAAGCTTTTCCGGCTTCGCCGTAAGGGGTCATTACGTTACCGTATTCATTTTCAATCTGAGCTAGAATCACTGGACCACCTTGTGAGGCGAAAAGATTCTCCTTCTTCACCATGTCCACAATCAACGTCGTGAAGTTTTGCATCTCATTCTGTTCATAAACAAAAACTTCAAAAACAGAGTATTAAAAGTTTCAAAAAACAGAGGAAAATGACGATGAAAATGTTACCATGAATACGGAATTTAACGTTCTGAGTTCAATTCCAGGAAGGTTGTGGAGCCAAACCGGAAAACCTCTGTAAATTCCAAAGATTAGAATTCAGCGTAAAAAAAAAACAGAGCAACTTATAGAAGAACAGAAAAACAGAGCAATATACCCATAATTCCACTCGGCGCAGACATATGGGCCAATGCGAAGAACAGCGTAAAGGCCTTGATCTTGAATGGTTTTAAGGAACCTTATGAGATCACGATTGGCACTNCTGAAGAGACGATTTTCGAAGCCGTGCAATCCGATTTCGTATGACCATTTGTGAGATGAGAGGTCTTTTATGAGTGTTTCATCGCCGTTGCGGCCGATTAATTCAACTGGGCCGGGGATTCCTGATTGAATCATGTCGAAGAAGGGCCCGTAGTTCTGAAAAACAGAGCAAAATATGTGAGATTTGTTGATGAGAAAAATCAGAAACAGAGGTCGGAGTTACGAACCTGGTAGCCGACGGTGGCGCTGAGAAGAGAGATTATGTTCTTTCAAACAGAGGTCGGAGTTACGAACCTGGTAGCCGACGGTGGCGCTGAGAAGAGAGATTATGTTCTTTCCTGGCTTTAATTTCACTTGTCTCTCCATAAAGTAAGTGAAAATTCCATATGAAGCCCATTGGGAACCGATATTTTAATTTCACTTGTCTCTCCATAAAGTAAGTGAAAATTCCATATGAAGCCCATTGGGAACCGATATGTTCACCGTTGACGAAGGCGTGGAGGACATGGCCGCTGCCGTTGATTCGCAGAGTCATGTCGTTGCTCCAAATCCGATCGGCTTTCTTCAAGTGAACGCTGTAATTTGGGGAAAAACATCAAATTAAGGAAATGGGTAAGGCTTAAATCGGTGAAATTCGTGTTCGATCTCGAGGATTTTACCTTGTCATGTACCAGAGATAATCACTGGCGTCGTTAGCGGCAGCTTTCTGATCAAGAAGCATATTAGCACTTACTTGTCCTTTGCCTAATCTCGCGGTGGCGTCGAGATTCTCTGGCCGCCACACCCATTGCAACGCCGCCGGTTCCTCCTCCGCCTTGTTTTCCTTCTTCACCATCACGGATGTTTGTGTGTTCACTTTTGCTGTGTTGTAAACCTCTGTTTGACAGTCGGGAAGAATGCTGACGGACCACGCCGGAACTTTAAAGTCTTTTCCGTTGTAGCTGACCGTCGCGTCGGTTGTTACATTCGCGTTGCTGAAGAAACAAGCCGACCCTTCTTTTGTAGTGTATTTGGTGATCTAAATCGAGAAAAATAACAATGTTCAATTGTTTGGCTCAAGAAACAGAGCAAAAATAGATGAGATCCGTTTTTTGGTTCTTACAGAAACAGAGTTGCCCAAATCGGTGGTGTTCACGTCGCCGGAAACCAGCGGCTTCTCAATGGACATCAAAGCATCGTGAAGCTGCTTCAAATGGCCGTATTTGGGTTGATTCAGATTACCATACTCATCCAACGGTGCATCGTAATCGTAAGAGGTGGTGATGTACGGACCGCCGGCCATCCGGTCGAAGTTCGTTCCGCCGTGGTACTGAAAAAAACCGGTCACCGGAGCTGTAAAAACCCAAACTCAGATACAAAAACCGATGAATTAAGGAACTAAGCACAAACCATGTAGTAGTTTTGGAAAGTGCCGCCGAGTTGGTAGAATCTAGCGACGGAGAAGGCCAAATCTTCGGAGGTTCTATGTGGGTCTTTTCCGCCCCAGCTCTTGAACCAACCAGTCCAATTTTCAGTCCACATTTTGGGGCTGTTCGGATTGTTGGGAGTGAACTGATCGCAGTACCAGCCATTGCAGGTGTTGATCATTGGCTCGGGTGCGTCGGCTTGTTGACACATGATCCATGGAACTCCAACTTTCAACGAGTCCGCCATGGATGCACACCAGTTCACATAAGCTTTTCCGGCTTCGCCGTAAGGGGTCATTACGTTACCGTATTCATTTTCAATCTGAGCTAGAATCACTGGACCACCTTGTGAGGCGAAAAGATTCTCCTTCTTCACCATGTCCACAATCAACGTCGTGAAGTTTTGCATCTCATTCTGTTCATAAACAAAAACTTCAAAAACAGAGTATTAAAAGTTTCAAAAAACAGAGGAAAATGACGATGAAAATGTTACCATGAATACGGAATTTAACGTTCTGAGTTCAATTCCAGGAAGGTTGTGGAGCCAAACCGGAAAACCTCTGTAAATTCCAAAGATTAGAATTCAGCGTAAAAAAAAAACAGAGCAACTTATAGAAGAACAGAAAAACAGAGCAATATACCCATAATTCCACTCGGCGCAGACATATGGGCCAATGCGAAGAACAGCGTAAAGGCCTTGATCTTGAATGGTTTTAAGGAACCTTATGAGATCACGATTGGCACTGAAATCATATTGACGACGAATCGGCTCATGGGCATTCCAGAAAACATAAGTTTCAATGGCGTTCAATCCACCTTCCTTTGATTTTCTGATCAAATCAGGCCACATCTGCGATAAACAGAGCATCCAAACCCAACCCATTTCAATTTGATATCAAATGATCAAAAAAACCCATTTCAATTTGATATCAAATGATCAAAAAAACCCATTTCAATTTGATATCAACTGTACCTGAGGAGTGCTTCGTGGGTAGTGGATAGAACCAGAGAGTAAGATCCTGGGTTGGCCATCAATGGTGATGGCTCTGTTCGTGTGGGAGACTTGAATGGCAGAGGTGAAAAGAACGACATTCAAGACAAGAACGAAGCAGAAGAAAGCTGATGAACTATCCATATTTTGAAATTGCTATCTGAAATGGTTATGAGAAATGAATTGTTGTATGGATGTATTTATAGTAAACAGGAGGGAATAAAACAGTGTTTCTGTTAAAAAATTTTTAAAATCTTAACAGAGTCGAGTTTATCTCGTTTTTAAATCTTTAATTCTTTCTAATAATAAAAATTCATTTATATAAAAAAAATGAGCATGTCCAAATTTATTTTTTTTTATAAACAATATCCAAATTTAGAATTTTTATTAATTTGTTTTTTTAAGGATAATATATTAGGTAATGTATTTAATTTTTTCCTTTAATTAGATAGAAATATGGATTTGAGTTGTATTATAATTTAACCATTTTAAATTTAATAAAATTAAAATTTTATAACATATCTCTTACCATTTATTAAAATAAGAAATATGATAAAATTATGGATTTAATTGTTTTCAGAAAAAATGGAATGAAAAATAATATAGTAATTTGTATAAATAAAAATAATTTAGTAATTTATATGGATAATGTTTAAATATTCTACAAAATAATTTATTGTTTTTTTTTTATAGAAATAATGGTGGTTAGTGATTATATATTAAGTATTTATTAATATGTATAATATATAAAATATAGCTAGACTAAAAAACTAATATATATAGACTAATATTTAAATTCAAAATAAATATTAAAAAAATAAAAAACTAAAATTATTCTAATTTTTTTTATATATTTTTTTATTAAGAAAAATATTTATAAAATATAAAATTTGAGATGTATTCACATCTATAATTAATAGACTTGTATCACAAAAATTAAATTAGTAAAAAAAAAAAAAAAATTAAATTAAATTTTCGTGGTTGAAATTTAATCATGACAAGATACCAATTTTATAGAATTTAAAATAGCATTCTATTATTTTATTTCCATAGACTATACATTCTAAATTTATAATATGATTCTAATATACACCATTTATTTATTTAAAAAATAATAATCTCATTTTTTTATTTTTAAGGCCACAATTCTGGACTGGAGGGGACACCAAAGGCCTGCCCATGGTAGATAGAGAGGGAGAAGAGAGCTTTCTGATCGGGTATGTAGTAACAAGGTTCAAGTCTAACGGTCTGTTAGGATGCCTCACTGCATACATCACTACACTCCCACAGGACACCTATCGTGATCATAAACGGCTCATCTCGCCGTGACCTTCTCTTGAATTCTCAAAACTTCTGTCGCTCCATCCCGTAAGGGTAGAGAACCCATCGCTGTCTCGGCTGTACTACCGAAAGCTCTGGGGAATAGGAGAGCTAAATTAAGCTAAATTAGGACTTTTAAATAGACGTCTATCTACAATAAAATTCTCTATTTATTCTCCGTATATGTCTTAGTTGGAAACACCCTAATAAATTCAATAACATTTCCAAAACAAAAACTTGAGGATGTGAAAAACTTTTTGGCCTTGACATTATAGGTGTCTCTACCATGTCACCCTCACACCCTTTCACAACCTCCACTAATTCAAAACTTAATTTGAAAGCTATATTTCGATCAGAACGTTTTCGAAATGTCTCTAATAACCAACGAACGACAAGTGTTGTGGATCCTATTTCAATGGGAACTTGATAAGTTGGTCTGCTTATACGTCTTGCCTCTCCACCTATTGCATTCTAAAGGAGGTGAAAAACCTCTATTTGCCTCTAGCATTATATGATATGGGTTTATGTCGTATGCATTGACATGGAGCATCTGAAAGCCATATTTAGATCGAGGGTTTTCGGGATGCCCTAATAACCAAGGAATGACAAGTGTTTTTCCTATTTCAATGGGAACTTGATGACTTGATCGCTTACACGTCTTGCTTTTACTTCTCTATCAAGAGTTACTCCACATATTGCTTTCGGTCTTTTGTTGAATCTTTTTCATGGCTCGATAGATAATTTGATAAGCCAATGATTTTTTTTTTCGTTTCAAAATATGGTTGGTGTTAACTAATCGATTACAATAAATTGGATCGAATTGTGCAATTTTTTTTCTTCTAGTACCTCGTGACAAAGGGGTTCAAGAATCAGTTTGGGGCTAAAATCATTTATTTTGGTTTTTTAATACTGTAGAGCGGATCTTGAAAAATATGAAAGATCTCCCTCAGTCATACATTTGACTTTCATCGAAAAAATCAGGCATTTCGGTGTTTGTTGACACAGTCAAAGAAAACCTCTGGAATTATTTCAATATTGGACCTCCCCTTACAAACGATTCACATGGTCTAGTTCCTTTACAAAACGATATTTGTGAGTCTACTCTAAGTTCTCTTACAAACGATTTAGTTCCCTTACAAAACTTTCATTAATGGGCTAGCCATACACTTCACATGTTTCTAGTGATTCACACCTTATAAAACTTTCGTTATTAGGTTAGCCTCATCAAATAGTGATTCACATGACATCATCAAATGAATCTACAATCCATTGGAACGATCTACAATCTACCAGAATGCCCTTGTTGACGATCCTTTACTCCGACAGCATTTGGGGTTCCTCGAACGCCCTTGTTGACGATTACTCCGACAGCATGTAGGGTTCCTCGAACAATCCACTAGAACGCCCTTGTTGACGATCCTTTACTTCGAAGGGCTAACCCAATAATGAAAGCTCTAACCCAATAACGAAAGCAGGGCTAACCCAATAACGAAAGTTCTAACCCAATAACGAAAGCAGGGCTAACCCCAATAACGAAAGCAGGGCTAACCCAATAACTACGGGAGCAATTTGAGGGCTAACCCGGCTAACCCAATAACTTCTTGAGCAATTTCAGGACTAACCCAATAACAAAAGTTTAGTAAGTACCTAGACCACTTTCAACCAAAGTTAACGGGCTAGGGAACTATTATATGTCCCAAATAATTTCAACGAATGGATCGAATCGAATTGGAAAATGGAAAGATTTGTACAAATTATACCTTTCGTCACCACTTTGTGGAAAATCGTTAGGTTCTTTGACTTTATTAGTGTCAATAAACCAATCGAAATGCCTTGACTTTTTTTTAAAATAGTAATGATTCAAAGCACCTATTCCTTACACCCTTCCATACTCTGATCTCATAGATACATAGAATTTTGTGGGTGTATTCAATGAAAGTCATATGTACGGTGAAACTCAATAAGTGAGTAAACAGAATTCTATATGTATCGATGATCTCATAGATACATATAGAATTTTGTGCGTATTCGATGGAAGTCATATGTACAGCTTGGGGCAGATCGACCACCCTACAATATCCGGTCAAAAAGCCAAAATAAATGATGTTAGCAGAAAACCAATTCTTGAAGTGCAGAGGGAAAAAAATTACAAAATCTATCCCATTTATTATTATCTGTATTCTGACACATTTAAAGAATCCGTTGGCTTATCAAATTATCTATTGAAACAATCAAGTCATCCATTCCGACATAGGATCTGTTGAAATATCATCACTAGCCCAATTATTGTACGAACACAGTATATTTATTTTAGTACAAATTTTAGGAGAAAGAGATGCACGTATTTTAGGAAAAAGATTCTGATTTGTTAGGTCTAGATTTAGATTTGTTAAGTATAGATTGGGTGAGTATAAATACCCCTTCACCCTAGCTAGGTTATTCATCCAAGAAATCCAAAAAATAATAAAGAGCAGAGTGTTTTGTATTCTCTTCTCGGTTGGTTTTAATAAAGAGTGCGAATGTTTCCCACGAAGAGTTTCGATTGGTTTTAATAAAGAGTGCGAATGTTTGGACACAGAGTTGTGTTCAACAGGATCACATAAAAAGGAGAGAGACTCATGTAATGATGACAGACTCAAATTTGAGTTTTTAGAAATTAGGATAAATATTATATTATATTTTTATTTTGGAAATGTTATTGAATTTATTAGGATAATTTAAAATTTTTAATAGAATTTATTGGGCAAATTTGTCCTAGTATTTAAATCTTATATTTAAAGTTTTTTTTTTTTTTTTACTAATATAACTTCTGTTTTCAACCAAATTAGTATATTTAACTATGGTTAAAAGATGGGATGAATCTAGCTGGTCTAGTTAACCTAAGAATCTCATAGATTTGGAGACAAAAATTGAGAAAGAAATGATCAAATTCTATTATGACCGACTCAAATTGGCTGACTTAAGTGGTGATGTATTTGGCTCAAATTTTAGATTTTCTAGTTCTCAACTAAAGTTCGTGGCTCAAATTTTAGATGTCAATTCTCATTTTCAACTAAAGTTCACTGTTTATCTCAATGGAAGTTTAGTTAATTTTATCGAGCTAAAATACGATTCATGGAAACAAAAACTTCCTAATAGAGAGAGGAGACATTAGGACGAACATATTCTCAAACGAAATCGTGTTAGTTTTTATATTTTATAAATATTTTCTTAATAAAAAAAAATATAAAAAAAAATCAAGAATAAAGAATAATTTTAGAATTCTTAAAACTAAAATTTTGGTTTTTAATTTTTTTAATATTTATTTTGATGAATTATATTAGTTTTTTTTGGTCCAGCTATATTTTATATATTTTTATTAATAAATATAATCACTAACCACCATTATTACCATAAAAAATAAGAAAATAATAAATTTTTTTAGAATATTTAAACATTATCCATATAAATTATTAAATTATTTTTATTTATACAAATTACTATATTATTTTTCATTCCTTATCATATTTGTTATAAATGGTAAAGAGATAGGTTATATTAAAATTGTTAAATTATAATACAATTCAATTCCATATTTCTCTCCAATTGAAAGGAAAAAATTAAATACACTACCTAATATATTGTTCTTAAAAAAACAAATTATTAAAAATTGTTTATAAAAAAAATAAATTTGTACATACGCATTTTTTTTTATATAAATTAATTCTTATTATTAGAAAGAATTAAGATTAAAAAACGAGACAAACTACTGTTTTATTCCCTCCTCTTTCCTATAAATACATCTATACAACAATTCATTGCTCACATCCAATTTCGGATTGTAATTTAAAAATCATGGATTGTTCATCAGCTTTCTTCTGCTTCGTTCTTGTCTTGAATGTCCTTCTCTTCACCTCTGCCATTCAAGT